GATAGATAGATAGATAGATAGATAGATAGATAGATAGATAGAATCTGTGTGTGTGTGTATACGATCAGTGGAGATATGCTTAATATTGTCAGCTTTCTTTTAAGCACAAGCCTTGCTGGGACTTGGGGGGGGGGCGGGGAAGAGAGAGAGAAACAGTGATTGAGCCTTTGTGTTGTGGGAAAACTGGTGGTGAAGGCGGCTGGGCGAGAAAAGGAGAGATCTAGCGCCAGATGAGGTTATTCCTTTTGACAGCCTAGTCTTCCTGCAGGAATCCCCAATCCAAAATGGGACAAAATGTGCTGCAACGGTGGACGGATGGAGGGATGAAGCATAGCTCTCTCGAGCAGCTGCTGTTGTCTGTGCACTCTCACTCTCTGGCTCTCTCTCACACACACACGAGCGCGCACGCACACATACACACACACAGAGAGAGTTTCCCTCTCTCCGCCCTTTCCCCCTTCCCATCCTTTCACTCACCCGGGCTGTCGCTGCTGATGTCTCGATCTGTTGTCGGATCCCAAACGCTGACAGATGCCACGGAAGGCTGCGGGCTTCCTTTCTCCCTAGGAAGTAGCGAGGAAGCCGCAAGAAAAGTGGATCCCCCCTGGATCGACGCGACTCCCCGAGGCCCCGCAGTAGCTAACGAGGAGGAGTCGGTGGGCGAGGTAGAGGAGGGGGAGCCGAGGGAGAAAGATCCCACAAAGAGATGCGGCCCCAGCAGTAGGAGGAGGCTGAATGGATGGATCAGAAACGGGCATGTTGCTGGCATGATGCCTGGGACTTTACACGCCCGGGGATGATGCGAAGCAGTAATAATAATAACCACCACCACAATCATCATCATCATCATCATCATCATGAAGCAACTGCAGGCAGCGCCATGCCCGGCGGGCGGGAAGGGGCGCGCGCCTCAAAGGAGCAGAGCCGCGTGCGCGCCGAAAGTTCCCCGGGTCAGTGGCGAAGCGGCGGCGGCGGCCGGCCCCCGGGATGGCATGGTCGAGCGGGGCGGACGCGGCTCCGGCAGTGGCCGCTCGCAATTGCGCGGAGCCCGAAAGTAAAAGCGCCCGCAAGGGCAGGCTCCTCCTCGCGGCTGCTGACATCACACCCTGCCGAGGCTGCTCTCTTCCCCTCAGCAGCCGTCCCGCTCCCCTCCGCCCTGCAGGCTGCTCCTCGGGGGATCCCCGGTCGGGGCCCGGTCCCACCTGGGGAGAGCAGCCAGGGGGCGGGGCG